CCCGAGCCGTTGCCCGAGCCGTTGCCCGAGCCGTTGCCCGAGCCGTTGCCCGAGCCGTTTGTGCTTTCAGCACGAACATTGAGATAATTTGTCCTGCGGCACTTAAAAATTATTTCATTCCTAAAATGAGAGAGATTAAATGCTTGGTCTGTGCTTTGGAGGAACGCGCAGCCATGGATCCTGTGGCTTGGGGTGTCCCGCTGTCCCCCACCAGGTGTTGCTCCAAAAATGGGGTGATTCAGGGACTGAAACCGGTGCTTTCCTCGCCGTGACTCCCGCTTTGCTTCACAGTTCCACCAACGCAGCATTTTACGTGGCTGGAGAAAGCCCCCTCGGGAGAGCGTGTTAGGGAGCTGTCGCTTTCCCCTCCGCTTCCAGGCGCTGACGAACGCTCTTGTGCAAGGGCAAGGATTTAAGCGGCCCAATAATTATTTAATTTCTCATGCTAACGAGGCGTCGGTCCTGTTTGGAATGGTCGTGTGGTGAGGGGTGGTTTAACGGCCGGGTCCGAGGGGATCCGAGCCATTTCTCTGCCGAATTTCTACTTCTGTTTCCAAGTTCTTCATTTCCTTAACTGGTTTCTGGCACATATTTTGTGATGATGGGAATCCTGACGATTTATACCTCATACAAAGAGAAGAGTATTTTCCTCGTAGCTCACAGAAAAGACCCCGCGGGGATGGACCCCGATGACGTTTGGCAGCTCTCCTCCAGTCTCAAACGGTACCCTTCGCTCCGGGTTTAAGCAAGCGGCGCGGGACCGGCACAGCTTTGCTTTGCCTCTGCTCCCTGCGCCTGCAGCCACCGCTCGTCAACTCCGAAACGAAATTTCACTGCAGAATATCTTTTTAATTCACTGCAGAATATCTTTTTAATTCACTGCAGAATATCTTTTTAATTCACTGCAGAATATCTTTTTAATTCACTGCAGAATATCTTTTTAATTCACTGCAGAATATCTTTTTAATTCACTGCAGAATATCTTTTTAATTCACCGCAGAATATCTTTTTAATTCACTGCAGAATATCACCTTAATTCACTGCAGAATATCACCTTAATTCACTGCAGAATATCACCTTAATTCACTGCAGAATATCACCTTAATTCACCGCAGAATATCACCTTAATTCACCGCAGAATATCATAGAATAGAATCATAGAATGTTTAGGGTTGGAAGGGACCACTAGTGGTCATCTAGTCCAACCCCCCCGCAGGAGCAGGGCACACGC